ACAGTGGGAGGTGTAGGCAATGGGTTATTGCTTTGTGATTCAGCATGTGAATTGTTAACAGATAGGAAGTCTTGTTGCACAATTGAATTCTCAACATGCTGCAAAGAAGATGTGGGCAGGGGAAAGGAATCAGTAATTTCTATGAGAAAAAGTAAGAATAACAAGGTTAATCGTATTACTTAATTGACATGCATGCATAAAACCAAACAATTAGCATCTTTATTCAAGGATTTCACTATGAAAGAAGGCAAGGTAATTTGCAGAATACTGTAATACTATCATCACATACATTTAAGACATGAGGTAAAGTGTGAGATCTCACATCGGTTGAGGAGGAGAACGAAACACTTTTTATAAGGGTGTGGAAACCTTTCCCTAGCAAACGCGTTTTAAGAACTTTGAGGGGAAGCCCAAAGAGGACAATATCTAGCGGTCATCTTGGGCCGGTACAAATGGTATCAGAGCCAGACACCGGGCAATGTGTCAATAAGGAGGCTGAGTCTCGAAGGAGGTGGACATGAGGCGATGTGCCAGCAAGAACGCTAGGCCCCAAAAGGGGTGGATTTAGTGGGGGTCCCACATTAATTGGAGAAAAGAACGAGTGCCAACGAGGACGCTAGGCCCCGAAGGGAGATGGATTGTGAGATACCACAACGGTTGGAGAGAAGAACGAAACACCCTTTATAAGGGTGTGGAAACCACTCCCTAGCAAACGCGCCTTAAAAACTTTGAGGGGAAGCCCAAAAGGGAAAGTCCAAAGCAGACAATATCTACTAGTAGTGGGCTTGGGCTGATATATAAAGTTAGTGGTAGATTATTGACATTTCCATAACTGGAGACTAGATGAACTGTACAACTAGAATTTTTTAGTTTTAGTAGAGTAATGGCATCCTTGTTATATGAAGGAGAAAATTTAGACAAGTATATGCATTTACGAAAGGATGGATGGAGAGTACAAACTTCGCCAGCTACAATATCAAACAAACTGGAGCGCCTCTTTCGTCTTGAGACATTGGTCTGCCTTATGAAATACTTTTGGGCATGGCTGGCCACTTGTGTCGGTGTTCTAGATACAACATAATTACGTGCTATCCCACGCCAGTCTCCTTTTCCGAGTTTCTGTAACCCCATTAAAAACATTCTATGCTCCTCCTCAGTCCATGGAACGCCTGTGCGCATTACCAAACACATAAATCTAATAAAAGATCAATTGATTCTCACAAAATGATCAAAGGTTAATTGTACAGAATTCAAATACATTCCTCGATTCCTATTAGGGTGTAATCGCAAGAACATAAGCTGGCCTTGTTCATTAACATGGAATAGAAATGTCACAAAATCCTATTTTAGAAATATGTCAGGTAGAATCCATTTTGGAAAAAATTCAGGATAGCACGTAATTAATGAGATAGAGAGGATGCTTATACACAAAGGTAGAAGGCTAAGATAGATAGAGGCAATGTTTAACAAGCCAATCAATAGGATATTCTATTTTCAACCCCCCTCTCTGTTTATGAACATGAAACTCGATGGAAAAAGAAAAGATCAGAACATATGTTTGCAAGAAATGAAATAAATGGATTGGTGTTTTTTGAAAATCATTTCCGAAAACAGGGTGTCACATGAGTTTAGCAATTTCACAATAGCTAATGTTTCCAAAAGCATAAAAAGGAAAACAAATTAGGTACCAAACAATTATCAATCAAATTTATCCTCTAACAAGGAAACAATACTTTTCTTAGAACATATCCATTTTTTAAATTCTCTACTAAGAATACTTCCATTTATCCAAAGTATAATTACATAAGATTTATGCCGATCACAGAGGAAAGAGCAACAGTAGTCGAGTCAAAACAGTCGATCACCAAAAAATTCCATGAATCAAAAGGATAAGCATGCAAAGTCCAGCTATCACCAAGATTCAAAAAATCAAACAAGAACAGAATAACTAATTCAAATTAAAGCGTAAACTCTCAAACCTTTCTTCCTCTCACGGCAACTCGAAGAAGAGCCAGGAACGAAATCCTCCGACGCATAGCCGTCGGCCGCAACGCCATGCTCGGGAGTCTCGCCCGGAGAAGCCGGATTGTTCGACCCGCCTTGCAGAGCACCCGATCCGGATCCGGCATAGTGGCTAAGATTCCCCATACTAGCACTCTTCCGGATAGAACCATCAGTCAATCGGACTCCAAAGAGCTTCACGCCGCGATTCGGACAAGTCCGAGAGTTGTGCCCATTGTGGCTGCAATGTGAGCACCGCCGCGTCATCGTTCCGCCGCCGCTTTCAGAAATCGATCTCAATTTCAACTAGATCAGAGGATCCGAGTTGCATGATCCGATCCAAAACCAGAAATTAGGGTTAGATTTCGTTCTTCACAGAGCAGATTTTGAGATTTTGATTTTTGGATGTTTTTTTTTTTTTTTTTTTTTTTTTTCTACCTCAGCTTTCGCAGGTGGAAGAGAAATAGAGAAGACCGACTAAATCCAACACTATCTATTTATCAGCCCTGGATAATGTGAAACAATCCCCTGCTTCGAGTTTGATTTCTTACTGTGCTTTCTTAATCTCAGCCGTTCATTTTTTTTCAAACTTTATGTTCTCATTGATCAACGGTTATTATTATTTCATACAACGTTGCACCGATTCGAATATGGAATCTCTGTCTAATCAGTATTTAATATTTATTATTTATGACTTGTAATTTAAAGGCTAAATTACAATAAATAAATAAATAATTTTTTTTTTTTTTTAACTCTTTCAACATGTTCAAAAATCTCGAGTCGGGCTTTCTTTCTTTGTTATGGTCGAGCTTTCAAGCTGCCTAATTTTTCAACACGTTCAAAAATTGGGAGCCACTCAAGAACTAGATAACTAGAAGAAACTTGCTTTTCGGAAAATAATAGATCGATCAAATAAAATCAAACATAACTGACTCTCCCTCCGCTCTGAAATTGTGTTATTTTTGTATTTGGGAGCTCCATCAAGAGATTCTTTCTTTTAGTTCATGGTTAAACGTGTTTTACTTAACCAATTCTATGTTGGGTAACCTCATAAAAATCTGAATGAGAATAAAGCATATTGGAAGGACTCATGTTGGTATGAGGGATAGTTTTCACTCTTAAAAAACGAGGAGTAGATAACGTGACGATGCAAGAGAATGTTTGGGTCACTAGGTGCCAAAATTCGAACTTTGAATCTTAATTTAAACGCGAGAAGTAGGTAACGTGACCATGTCGCAAGAGAATGTCGGGGTCCACCATGTGTCAAATATGGATTTTGAAATCTAATCTGAACGTGAGGAGTAAATAACGTGACTATAACACACAAGAATGTTAGGGTCATAACCCTAAACCCTAAACCCTAAATTTTGAATTCTAATTTGAAAATGGAGTAGGTTGGTGTAGGTAACGTTACTATATGCCACGAGAATGTCGAGGTCATCAAATGCCAAATCTGGATTCTAAATTTTAATCTGAAAGCGAGGAATAGGTAACGTGATCATGTCGCAGTAAAATATCAAGACCATCATGTACCAAATCCAGATTTCTAATCCTAATCGTAATACATTTTTTTATGTTACATAATATCAACTTTCATGCTAATCTCAAATTTTCTTTTTTTTTAAGGTTAAATTACGAGTTTATATCTATTTAGTCCCCAAACTTTGATATATTTTAAATTTTATAAATTTAATAAAGGTTTTTTTCAATTTAATTTTTTTAAAGAAATGAATATATTAAATTAAAAAAATGGAAAGGTGAATATTTTAATAATTTTCTAAATAAGTTTATATGCATATTAAACTAGAAAATAGAAGTATATCAGACGTTTTTAAAGTAATAATATTTTTAATACGAATATAAAAATTTATGGATTAATTATTTATAATAATATCGACTAAAATATTATAATAATATAATATTCCAATCTTATTGGGTAAGGGGCATTGCCACGTGAAAGAAAAAGCTGACTTTTAAGCCATTACGTAATTAAATTGGATAAAATAACAATCAAGCGAGGGGATGGATAGAGACAACTTGACTAGGACACGTGGACGATCAGATGTTAGTCAACGGTGGCAATAGTCAAAAAGGTCAAAAATTGGGCTACTACAAATCTGAGATCTTTGTAGATTTCGCCACGTGGAATATGCCCAGTGGACACGTGTTCGGGCATATTCTGTTGGACTTAACTTTTTGTGCACACCATCCTCACTTCTTTTAATTAAAAAATGACTTATTTTATTTATTGTAAATATTATTTTCACAATTGCATTTTCAAATTTATTTTATTTGGATCACTAAAATTTTAAATCAAATATATATTTAATTTCTTTCTTTATTTATTCTCGAATATTATTTATTTATGACATTATTTAATTAATGTGTTTTTAAAAAAAGCTCTCATTACTCTTTGATTTGGCTTCGTAGAAGGCCTCGTATCAATGGCCATAATATTTCTTGCTTATAAACTCATGACCATTTCTTAAATTAGCCAATGTGGGACTCCATCCCAATAATCTTCAACATTCCTCCCCTCGAACAACAACCTCCCTTTAATCGAGACTTGACTCTTTTTTTGAAGTCTTCGAACAAAGTACACCCTTTGTTCGACATTTGAGGATTCTATTGACATGTCTAAGTTTAAGTACATCAAACATTTGAAGATTCTATTAAAATAGCTAAGTTTTGATGTCTCACATTGATTGATGATAAGAACAAAACACGGTTTATAAGAATATAGAAACATTTCCCTAACAGGCATTTAAAGCTTTAAGAGGAAGTTCAAAAGAGAAAACTCTCGTTACAATTTAAATATTTTTAAAATTTTAAATATATTATTGAATTTTTTTAACTATAAAGTTTTCTTTAAAATAAAGTCTAGGATGTTTTCTATAATTTATTTATTATTATTATTTTATAAGTTCGAAGCCTTATTTAATTTTAAATAAATTTTAAATTATTTAAAAGGGGGAAAAATGAATTGGGTCTCCTATCCCATCTTATCCAAAGGTACAGACATCTTAGCTTTTAAAAACGCTTTATGAAAAGTTTATCCATTTCTTATTTTATTTTAATTTTTATCTCTATATTAATGGGTCCCACAAGAGATGATCAGACGGCAAAGAAAATAGATAACGTGGGTCCCACTCATCTGGCCATCCACGTGGCGGCTCACGTTATCTAGATCTGGAATGGATTAAAATTAAATTAATCAAAAAAGATCCTTAAAACTTTCACTTTTAATGATTTTCATAATTTTAATCTCTATCATTAACGTCATTGTCAAGGCAGTAACATGATAAATTTTGAGAAGGTTATCATAATATGCATACACATCAAGTCTTTATCCATTAGTGATGATGTAAATGAACTCTTATCAAGCTTCTTGATCTAAATTTAATCTAGAAACATAGGAGTGAGAGGAGTGAATCTTACCTTTTCTAAGCAAATCCGTCTTTATAAGCCAACCTCACACGTTCTTTCAAGTAGTCTAGACTGCTAATGGGAGGATATCTGCATGCACATTCAATAATCTTGAAGCATCTAAGCATTTAAATTTGTAGTTGTTTTAGAGATCATGATGAGGAAAATTTTCATGTAATCCATGAAATCATGAAAATGTATTTTGATCAATGTTCTTCAGGTTATTTATACTCGTAAAACGACCGATAAAACTCATTCCTAGCAATTGATGCATGAAGTCGGAGAAGCATGGAGATAGTCCAAGGATTGTGTTCAAACTAAAGGCCAGCATAGACATTAGAACTCATTCAAGATTGATCTTTTGTAAGAACCTTAACCCATCGCTAACAGATATCGTCTTCTTTGGGCTTTCCTTTCAGGCTTTCCCCTCAAAGTTTTTAAAACGCGTCTGCTAAATAGAGGTTTCTACACACTTATAAAGAATATTTCATTCCCCTCTCCAATTGAGGTGGGATCTCACAATCCACCCCCTCGAGGCCCAGCGTCTTTGCTAATACTCGTTTCTCTTTACAATCGATGTGGGATCTCACAATTTTAGTTTTTAAGGTTATATTCAGTTGAATTGTGACTTCATAAGTGGTAAAACGACTCGGAGTAGCCAAAAAATTGGAGAAAGAGCATTGTAATTCTTCTTATAACACAATTTCATATGATTAGTTTTGTAGAACTGTCCTATAAGATTATTATTGGATCAAATTCCTAAGGGAATGGAGAGATTCCGGGGATAATATTATAAAAGTAAGGAACGTCAATACCTCGGGGGAGATGACTCGCTACAACAACTATGAAGACATTCCACGACACATTCGTCACTCGGATGTAAGAAGAAAGCAACCTGCAAAATGGAGAGATATTTGAAGTTTAAAAAATCACTTTTATCTCACATTGGTTGGGAAAGAGAACGAAATATTCTTTACAAAGATATGGAAACCTCTCTCTAGCAAACACGTTTTAAAAACCTTGAAGGAAAGTTCAAAGAGGACAATATTTGCTAGCAGTAGGATTGGGCCGTTAAAAAAAGCTTCCTCAAAATAGGGTTCAAATCATAGTTTCTTGGATGGGCTTATTGGCAGAAAGCAAACAAGTAAATAGCTAGACCTTACCGAGTAGCGTTCTTCTCCAACTGGAATCACTCGATGTAGAGTCGACCTATCGTAAATAACACAAAAACAAGCAAATAACCAACAATGGAATCTAGTTTTTTACTTTCACATGATAGAATTTATCATAACGTACAACCTCAATCCTTACCGGAACAGACAGTTCGTCCACCTTTCCATCAAGTCCCCAACATTAACAATGAATGCCCTGCAATATCAGAGAATTGCATCCATTGAATTCCAGACAGTCATGAGGCTTCCCTTGTGGTGTCTTTGGAGCATCATTTTATAATGTTCAATTGTTTTCAATTCTGAGTTTTGAACTCACTTATCTATATGAGCAACATCTTCCCAAACTTGTGGGTGATCAGACTTTTCCTTGCATATCTGTTACCATGGCAACTTAACACAAAACTTCACCGCATAATACACACAATTTTCTCTATAAAGTATGATCTCAATTGATTAAGGAGAAATACCTGAAGTCCGGGAATGCCATTGGTTACAAGGAGAGTGATCATCCCCCAATCTGAATGTGCAGAAGCACCTAATATTTCTTCATCAAGAGATCTTAAGTCACCTGAGTTCAAGAGAATGAGCAGATTATCAACAAGATTGCATCCATCGACTTGAAGACGAAATGTGTGAGATCTCACATTGGTTGGGGAGGAGAACGAAATATTCTTTATAAGGATGTGGAAACCTTTCCCTAGTAGACGTGTTTTAAAAACCTTGAGGGGAAGCCCAAAGAGGACAATATCTGCTAGCAGCAGCGAGCATGAGCAGTTACAAATGGTATCAAAGCCAAACACGGGACGATGTGCCAACAAGGACGCTGGGTCCCGAAGAGGGTTGGATTGGGGGGTCTCATATCAATTGAAGAAGGGAATGAGTGCCAGCGAGGACGTTGGGCCCCAAAGAAGGGTGGATTGTGAGATCCCACATCGATTAGGGAGGAGAATGAAGCATTCTTTACAAGGGTGTGGAAACCTCCCCTAACAGACGTGTTTTAAAACCTTGAGAGGAAGCTCAAAAGGGAAAGCCAAAAGAAGATAATATCTGTTAGCAGTGGGTTTGGGTCGTTAACTGACCAAGTACATCATTAACTTAGAAGGAAATGAGAATGAGGGAAGGAGAATCATTCTACCTCTTTGCTATTCATATTGTTTCCAAATTTTATCAAAAAACTATAAGATGGTTTGCAATTTTGTGGGATCCTCGCTAAGATTGAAAATCATTTCCATAGACCATTCCCATTCCCACATTTTGGGGGGTTCCATCACACTTCTTTAAATTTCATCTTCATCTTCATCATCTTTAAATTTTATCTTTTACAAAATTCAGCATAAATGTTGGGGGTGGGGACAGGAAGAAAAAACCGAACATATGCTTCTTTTCTCCCCTGTAGTTTTCAGTAATTAAAAGTTACGTATGTCCACTGAACCTGGATAGTGTAGAAGCCGAAGAAAATCTGATGGTTTACTGAAGGCACCAATTTTCTCAAAGAAATTCTCATCCAGATTCAGAGCCAATGCAAGTAAAGATATTATTCGTCTTCCAACACGCCTGTACCAACCAAACAGAAAGCAAGACATTACAGCCAGTCCAAATTCATTTAGCCATCCAGCGTAAACGAGATAAGAATACTTTCGAGTACAATGAACAAAACATGAATTTAAAACAACATAGTACCAATTTTATTGCACTGATAAGTACCAGGATGTATTGAAATTAATCCTGAAGGCATTTGAACTTACAGTGCTTGCTTATAGAAGGATTCCATTGTAGCTCTCCAAGAAGGCAATAGTTCTGTCATTTCCTTGCCAGAAAGAGTAATAGTTCATAAACATGAATAATCAATGATTTCAAATTTCTACCATAAGTAGGGTAATTGGTCACCTCCTGAAGGCCACTGATTTAAGTCATTTTCAGTTTCGTTGCCTGCCAAAGGGCCAATATAATAGCTCTCTTTTGCATCCCCTATTCACAGAAAAATCATAGATACAAAGATAAACAACTTTCTCCAACACCAAATCTTCAATAACGGTAGAGATTGTGCATTAGTTTCCAATCTGCACCATTTACAATCTAACAAAACAGTTCAATGATGATATGAGTTTGGATATTTTTTAAGATTCTTACTCTTCTTATGATTCTTTTTGTAACGACCCAAGCCCACCGCTAGCAGATATTGTCCTCGTTGGACTTTTCCTTTCGGGCTTCCTCTCAAGGTTTTTAAAACGCACCGCTAGCAGATATTGTCCTCTTTGGGTTTTCCCTTTCGAGTTTTCCCTAAAGATTTCTTTCCCTTTCGAGCTTCCCCTCAAGGTGTTTCAAACGCATCTACTAGGGAGGTTTTTTCACACCCTTATAAGGAATGTTTCCCCCCTCGCACCAATGTGGGATCTCACAATCCACCCCCTTGTAAGCCCAGCGTTTTCGTTGAAGCATCTGATACCATTTGTAACGGCCCAACCCCACCACTAGTAGATATTGTCCTCTTTGGACTTTCTCTTTCGGGCTTTCACTCAAGGTTTTAAAACGCGTCTACTAGATAGAGGTTTTCACACTCTTATAAGGAATGATTCGTCCCCCCTCAAACCAATGTGAGATCTCACATTTTTGTTCTTTTATCGAGTCAATCCACTCTCCCTACTAGGAAATGATCATTTACAGTCGAACAAAACACTAAAATGTGGACTAGTATGGTCCGTGGATATACCATCTTTTCACCTTTCTGGAAAACCATATGCAATCAATCTTTTTTTCTAATATCAACGAGTGTCTGGGTCAGCTTGCACACACCTCATCTAATATTACACAATCATAATTTTAAAAGAGATCATATAATCCGGATTGTTGCATTTTCACAGCCATCATATCTATAAACAACATTAATAAAAGTGTCTCAATCTAGAAGTTATAGCTATTCTAATCTCTTAATCTTATAGTTAGTTTACTTACTAATTGGTTTTCTTAGACCATTTCATACAACATTCAGAAGCTCGGAGCAACAGCCAGGCAGAACTACCATTTACACAGCTCTCACAGTTCAAATTTCTCCCAAATTTCACAAGATAAACAGACGAGATTCATAAATTTCAAATCAAAATAGAACAAAAACCTATATCAGTCGAGGTGGTGGGATCGAGCTTCTCGGCATAAAGAGCGGTGTATCCCCTATGTTCCTTCCGAGCAAGTTTCATCTTCTCCTCAATAGGAAGAGAAAAGAACTTCCTACTTTCGTCAAACACTCTCTCGAGCAATTCGTCTTCAACGCCATGGTTGATCAAGTAAAAGAATCCGTAATCCAAGCATGCCTATGCGTAATTTCCAATCCAAGAAAACGGATTAATATCAGAATCTGTTAGGGAAAACGATGGAGAGAGTTGATTTGGAAATCATACGAAGAACCTGATGGATTGAGAAAGCAACAGAGGTGCGGTCTTGAGAGGAGAGGTCGATGATTGGGAGTTGCAGAACAGACGCCATTTTCGGTCGAAGAGCAGTAGAACCAGAACCACGGTTCTAGTCGTCGTCTTTTGACAAAATTCTTAACTTAAATTTTAAATTAAAAAAATATTAATTAAGATAAAAAAAATTGGGTGACAATTAGGGTAAAAATTTGTACCTGTATAGACCCCGCTCTCGACCCATTTAGCTAATAAGTAGAAATTGTTCTCGAACTTTCTACTTAAAACCTCATTAATAATTTCGAAAGTCGATGCCTTTTTCCAATCGGTCAAGTAGCTTAACTCCTTCCCGACTCGAAACCACTCACGTTTCACTAGCTATCATTACAAATCTTTGACTTTTTTTAATTTGAATTTCACGAGCCATTTTAAAAGCAATTATTGACAAATTCTTGCACGGCTCTTCTCCCTTCTGTCCGCCCTGCTTCTCCTTTCCCCCTCTCCCCGTTCTCCCTGCTTATAATCGGGGACCGACAAGGTAATTCATTAATTTCAGCCTGTCTCGGGTTCTATATTGTACGGTCTCATCTTTCAGGGAAGAATATGGGCTTGCGCCTCCCAAATCACATTGCCCGCAAAAGGGAAAGCCCTTTATCTACCACCTTCTTTCACTATCTAACTGTAAAAGAAGAATCAACTAAAAAAGAGCTACTGAACCTGAACCTCAACTTCTTTCTTCTGCTTATTTTACTTAAACGAGGCCACGACCCCACTGTTTCTATGTTATACTCTATAAATACTAGCTTAACTTTTGTCTCTATGTTTCCATCACGTGAGAACGTCAGGTCGTGAGTGGCATGTGTTCGACGAGCGAGGTCATAGTGCCATTATCTACCACAACTGAGAGGAAAAAAAAAAAAAAAAAAAAAAAAAAAAAAAAAAAAAAAAAAAAAAAA